TCTTTATACAAGTAAACGTCCAAAGAGGTTGACATGTAGACTGAACTTCAATCAAACAAGACCCAACACTTTTATTCCTGATTTATACTAGTGATCTTGTGAGCAGCTGCAGCTGTATGCTTTTCTCTTTTTCTGTCAGGCTGTCGCAGAGCGCTCCTCCTCCTCTGTCTGGTGTGTGAGGCGGACAGAGCTTAGCCGAGGCTGCTGGAGCTTCATGTCCTGATCCACGAAGCCAACATGAGTCAGTCCCAGACTGAGCTGACTTGATCAAGTCTCTCTCTGCCTCTGGTGAGGAGTGGGGTCAAAAATCCTCCACTTCAGACCGTTCAGAGATGTAACTATCTGTGAAACTGTGGTCACTCTCCATGTAGCATCAATTATGCTAATGCTAGCTGCCTGTCGCGTTCTCTCGTCCTGGCCATACCTCTGCTCTCTAACCCCCCCTCCCCTACCCACTTCGATGCATTTTTCAAATTTCGCCTTGTGGCGGAGTTATCTTTTCACAGGGGGGTAAGATACACTTTAATGTGTTATTATCTCATTAACACAGCAGACACTTAACAACAATACTTCTTTAAACGCGCATTAACGCAGTTATTTATTTCATTATATTTCTCTGTCAGATCTCTGTTCACTGGGCAGCTAATACAGACACACACAAGCTCAGTGGTCATGGCAGGGAGGCAGGATCCTGGTCATTATTGGATTTAGATGGCCTTCATMGCACATCTCAACCAATGAGAGCCTTTGTTGTCGAGCCTGCAGCAATCTGAGTCACCAGATTCATCAGGGTATATTTATTTTAAAACTTTTCCCAACAAACGGCGGACTGTAAAGAAATATAGTTCTCTGTAAGCGCCAAAACACTAAACTGTCTTACCACTGGAGCAGTTTGATCCTGAACTATCACTTCAGTTTAAAACCTGTTTAAACAAACAGAGGGACATTCTGCTGATGAGGCTAACCAGGTGTTGGAAAAAATAAAAAAGTAAGAGTTGCTTGCTTTGCTTTACTTGTTTAGTTTTTAAAAATGCATTGCCCCTTTTTATATGAAACAATACCTAAAAAGTGCTCTTAACATCTTGGAGTCATAGTTAAATTTTTGCAGAATAATGAGATTAATCAAGAAAGCAATAATTAAAAAACATGTTTTTCTTTTTTTTTTAACTACATGAGGAATGAAAGATAAAAAATACAATACGTAATGAAAAAACACAAGAAAGTACAAAAATGCATTGTGTTACAGATGGAGTGTATTGCAACGTACAGTATAAATGTACACATTCAGCCATAGTAAAGTAATTGTTTCTGTTTAAAAAAATATTGCRATTAATCGCAAAAATACCTTGTGTTTAATCGTGATTAACATTTTTAATCCATGCCCAGCATTAGTTTTTACTGGTTACCTGCTGCTTTATTTTGAACATGAAAATAACCACACATTTCCATGTGAATAATGGTGAAAAGACAAACTAATGGCTGAGCAGAGGTTTGTAAAATAATGTTCATACTATATAACGTTTCAGAATGGGTTTATTTTAAGGTGATATCAATCCATTTTGAACTTTTTTCTGTTAAAACTAGCTGTTAGTTCAGCAATCTGGTCAGAAGTAAACTATTTTCTTCATGCTGAGGTTGTTCAAAGCTCTATCTACAGCAGGTAAGATATTACTTGATCAAAACCAGTGCTACAAAATATATAAATCATTACTTTAAAGCAAACTGTATTTTAAAATTCTGACGCAYACTGCTCACCAGCTTCCACCCGCATTTGAGTTTAGTTTTCTGGGTTTTGAACTGTTGGGCCTGATGTCATTCTTTTCAGGCGTCTTCTTCCCATCGTTGGCCAGCCTGTGCTCACAGCGTGTCGTTGAAGCAGAGAGAGGCTTTCTAATGAGCACCTTGACCAGCGGCAGCAACCTGGGGTAGCTTGTGCACGCGTGTATACACCACTTCCCCCATAAACACACGTTTGTCACTGATGGCACCTTCTGTGTTCCTGTTRTTGTTCAGAATGCTGTTAGCCGGTGGAATGGGCTCCCTGATACTCGACAGGTACGGCTGGGAAAGCATGTTCTACTGTACTGGACTCCTGTCTGGACTCTGGGCGCTCACAGTTTGGTACTTTTTTTTAAAAGGTAAGCATGCGTGTTTCCTACAATGACAGACTGATTGTAAAGCACTTGTAAAGAAGCACARCTAGGACATATATAACTGCTAATCAAACCCAGATGTGATCAATATTCATACTTTTAATACAAGTGTAAGACAGCTTTTTGGATAGTTGTCTGATCTCTTTAACTTATTAGGCAASGTCAGTTTACATCAGGGTGTGTAAGTGCTCTTATCTGGGACAGATAATTTTTTTTACTGAAATACTGTACAGATTAGATAAAAATGTGAGACTTATGATTTAAGACAAGACAAGACAGGACAAGACAAGATAAGATAAGATAAGATAAGATAAGACAAGACTTCCCACAGTGGGGAAATTTGCAGATTACAGCAGCTCAAAATAGGACAGGGTGAGATAGAATAAAGAAAGATAGGTACTAAGATAAGAAAGAAAGATAAGTAATATACTAACACAGCATATCAAATTATTACAAATGCTCCTTTTTTCAGTAGGACACATCAGAACATTTTGAAACTCCATGTTGTCACCTTTCTAAAATAATCGCCCAACTCATTTTTAAAACATTTTTCTGGAAAATCAAAAAACTTGACCAAAACATTTTTTTGTGATTCCTAAAAACTTAAAAAAATAAAAGCTGATTTTTTTTTTTAGAAAATGATGATATTCACCTATTACATAATGACAAGAACAAGCACAAGACTCAATTAAAGATGATCTACAATGATGTTTCTTTGGCGATACTTTTTGCTTAAATATTGTCCTTTTTTATTAAAAAATTTTATGGTTTCTAAAATGTATATAAGCTTTGCACAAAATGTAAAAGAAAATGTGTGATTTGTAGATTATTTCATTGTTGTAACAAAGCTTTTTGGCAATAAATCTTATACCAGGCACCTGATTGGAAGCACCTGCAGAAGCTCCAGAAACCCAACCAGAAGCTCAAAATACGCGTCAATAACAACAACAAAATATGCTGTTTGACAGAGAAGATGTGGCTAATTTTTCATGTGCCCAACCCACATACTCAGCTCCACCGCTCATCCCACAAATGCATGTTCCTTACAAATGTGGCATATAAGATTTGTTGCCAAGARGCRTTGTTAGAATAAAGAAATAATCTACTAAACATAAATGTTCTTACTTTGGTTGCAAGTTCATTTTTGTCTCTTGCTGCAAGAGATCATGTAACAGATTTGAACAAAACTCTCAAAGTAATCATTGGGTGTTCTTCTACACCTGATTAACYTTTGTTGTCAACTTGATTCAAGATGGCCGACACAGCTTATCAACTTTAAGAAACACAGAAATGTCTCTAACTCAGTTAGTTTTACAAATTCTGATTCAAATTTTCATGTGGTGGCTGAAAGCATCTCCAACACACAGCCTGCACTTTAACAGACCACATAAGATTTTTGTTTAAAACTTGGTCATGTCAGGATGTAGCTATATTACTTCAAGGAATGTTAGTTTACCTTTATAAGTTTTTCAGCTCTATTATAAGGTATTTGACAGCAGTTTAATGTGTTTTTAGGTGAAGTCGTTCACAAGCGGAGAGKAAAAAAGACCGATTTAAAGCCAAGTTTGAAAAGAAGACACTGGCTGGACCTTTTTAAAAACCCTCCTGTTTGGTAAATCTTTTATTTACAGTCTGATAATGGTGAGAGTGAATTTGTCTGACTCCATCACTGTTGTATTTTCTCTTTAGGGCCATGGTGTTTGCTCACATGTGCATATGCAGCACATCCTACACTCTGTTGTCGTGGCTGCCAACGTACTTTAAAGAATCATTTCCTCAAGCCACGGTACTTCAACACCATGCTGCTGTTTAAATAATAAACTTGCTTCACTGTGCTGTAGAGCGATTGCACTATTTAAGGCTTTGAAACAAACTAAATGTTTCTGTTCCTCCAGTCTTGGGTGTATAATGTTGTTCCATGGCTAACTGCCATCCCATCAGCTCTTGCAGGAGGAGCCATGTCAGATTTCCTCATTACCAGAGGTAAAAAAAAAGTTTCATTATTATTGGAGGTTAAGAGAATGTGAATTTATACTTTATTTTATTAATATAATTTATACACTTTTTATTACAGGATACAGTATAGCCTCTGTGAGGAAAATAATGCAAGTAAGTACAGATACTGTCATGTGTTCGTGTCTGTTAACGGTTAAACTGCTAGAGTTTGTTTTCTGTTTTAAATTTGTCACTGCAAGCCATAAAGCTTTTCCAGTTTGTGGAATGTAAAAGTACAATTTTGCCACTTTAAAAAAAAATGCCCTTTAGTTACCTTTCTCTTTGTAACTGTGCCTTGAGATTCTGTCTATGAACACCACAAACAAGAGACGAACCTGACGGAGTCTAACCCACACTAAGAGCTCAGTTTTGTGTCAAGAATGTGGACCATGCTCTTCCTTTGGTTGTACAAAGACTGGACAGCTCTTAAAAGACACCCCAGCAGTGAATTTAGCTGCAAACCCCTCTAGAGAAGGCCTCTGRTCCACAAAACACATTCAGACTGGAGAGCTAAACTTCCACAATCCTGTGTGGCTAAACTAGTTTCAGAATGTAAAAATTAAATTAAAGTCCTTTTAAATATGTTTAATACATCCCTCTTGTTCTGCCTCAACAGTTTTTTGCCATGGGATTATCCAGTATGTTTATTATTCCGCTGTCTGGAGCTGTCGAATTCCCCTCTGCTGTAATCTTCATCTCTGCTGCTGTTGGTTTGTCCACTTTCACTAGTGGGTATGTTCATCCTCCTGTCTTAATTCAACTCGCACGTTTTGTCCTGTTGTCACAGCGGTGCTTGTTTAGATGCTGCTTTTTAAGCACAGAGAAGAATAAAGTAAAAACAAAATGATAATTAATATACCTGTATATGTAAATTTCCTGTCAAATGTTCATTCAGTGAATAATCTCAGTTTTGACCACTGCTTCAGATTTAGCCTCTGTTGGTGTGTTTCAGTGGTGTGTCTGTGAACGTACAAGATCTGACTCCATCCTGTGCAGGCGCTCTCTACGGTAAGCCTCCAGCAGCCTTTACTCTTTGTCTGAACRTCTCGTTCTTCTTTCTGTTCACATTTATCCAGTTTCTTGTTTCGTCACCAGGTTTTATGAACATGATGGGTGCTTTAATGGGTAGGTAACTAATCTGAAGGCAGCCAAACTAAAGGTTTTTAAATGACCCCTCTGGATACTAATGGCTGCTGTGTTTGGAACAGGACTGGTTCTGGTTTCCTTTTCTGGCTACCTGATCGAGGTCACCTTGTCGTGGGCCACCGTCTTCTCCCTCATCACTTTAGTAAACGCCACTGGTCTCGGGATCTTCCTCGTCTTTGGAGATGCTCGACGTGTCGACCAGCCAGACAGTTGCCAAATTATAACTGTTTGACCTGGACTGGACTTAACTTTTAGTTCATTTGTAATTAGTCAATAAATTGCTAAATTATTAAATATATATTACTTTTTTTTAAATGAAGACTGTAAATAATGCACGTAATAATGTGCTGGAGGGCATGTTATAAAACAGTGTTTCCCAAAGTTGGGGTTGGGACCCAAAGTGGGGTCCCGAAACCTCAAGGTGGGGTCCTGAAAAGATTTTCTGAATTAATTACATTTTTGCCTTAGTTGTTATAAATGAGTGAGGTTAGTATATTTAAAATGGATAAATGTAGTATAAAAAATATTGTTACTATACCCATGTTTTGTTGACCTGATACAAAAGTTTGTAATCCAAAAATAGTTTGGGGCACAGGCCTCTGTTACTGTTTTGTACCATTCTGTGGGTCAAA